TATATAGTTGATATATATAACTTAGTACCCCTTAGTTCTGTTGTTTGGAAATGTCATTATATGCCTACATAGTGGCATATATAAAAACTGACTGCATGAAATAATGCCACTCAACTCGGTCTTATAAATAGGCCCCGTAAGTGAAGATATGTGTGAATATATATATATATATTCTGTAGAGAATATTTCTTGAAGTTTGAAAACAAATATATATATATATATGTATATATATATATATATAAACCGGCCTACGGGCACTATGTTAGAAGGGTAGCCTACGCCCCCATACATCGTTTTAAACATGCCAGAGTTGCGAGGCCTTATGTATGCCCCACATTAAATATAAACCCCACAAGTATGGTCACAAATAGACCGATGCCCCGTAAATGGAGGAATGTGACTGTATATATATATATTTATTTTAAAACTTCAAGAAATAATCTCTACAGATATTATACATGAATTTTATTTAAGAAAACAATAAATGTACATGATGAACCCACAAAGAACAACATGTTTAGGCAGTAATTAAATATTATTAATGGTCCGTTGATGAGATTCATTTCAATGAATGAAACAGGGACATTTATTTTGCAGAGAAAAGATAAGAATCAAACGTATTTCAAGAACAGTTTATAATCATGCTAAATAAAATCTATATATCATTTTAATTTTGGAAAGACATAATGTTATCAATGACTTCCCTGTTAGACTTTGTAAGGATATCCTAAAATTTTATTCAAATAATTTAGTGTTATGTTATCAAAGACTATTTTTAAAATGTCATCTTAATCATTGAAATGTTTGATATGAATAAACAATCCTCATAATAATTTTATACTTTACAACTTGTTTTTGTAGATGCATTATAGCTAATTTATACCCACAAAATGCCATTTTGATGATTTTATAGAAACAATACAGCTTGTAAAGCAGAAAGATGACCCTTGTAAACATTTTATATTGACTGCAATGGAAGAAACTGAAGATATGTTGCAAGGTATAAATTTTATAAGCAATCGTTTGTTCTCGGATAAAGCTAGACATATGTATAGTAGTATGTCTGTACTTTGAAAAATAAATTTTTATTTTTGTACATGAATGCTTCCAAAATACCTTCATGAAATGATATATTTGTATATTTCCTTATCAGCTTCTTCAAATAGCATCATAATATTTTATTTCGGGACATTTTGTTTACTTTACGTACTGTATGCATGAGTTTAATTAACAGAAACGTCCTAGGTAACGACTCTTTCAGGAGTTAACTATTAGATTGTGACAATCTTACCTACTATATATTCAAGGGATTTTTTCGTAATAATTTTTACTTTTTACAGCATATTAAATGATATGTGCAATATAAATGCTGTCATAAAGTTTGAACAGCAAGAAAGACTTCTTGTTAAGGGAGCTCTAAATTGTCACTGTAGTCGACTTGATCTTATTGAATTCCTTTACACTTCCGGTGTAAAATTTTAAAGGTTTTTCTCTAGTCTAACAAAAAAGTTCTATTTGTGATACGTGTAAACTATTAGTTATAAAGATATTTAACTAGTTACATGGCCCCATATAAACGAAGCTTTGAAAATATAACCCGAACTGCAAGGCGAGGGTTATATTGCAAACAACCATTAAAATATGGCCATATAACATGTCAGGAATATTTATAACGAATTTATAAAAAAAGTTAGATTTCTTCACAAATTCACAGCAACCGTGTATATGAAACTATAATACACATCACGATTAACTAATGAAAACCGACGTTACAAACGTGCAGTATTATATATGTGTTTATACACAAAGAACATAAAGTTATCACAATTTTTTTTCAATTTTTAGACATTTCATTGATGCAACCTGATATGATTTATCTCATGGAGAAGCAGCCACATGACCGAGAGTCTCAAGAATACAATAAATGGACAGTTGATGTAATGAGAGCTGCACTTTTGAAGGTGGATGACTATGATGTGTCCAGAGATATAAGTAGTTGTGCAAAATACTTGAATGTAAGTTTCTGAAAATATTTTAAGCGTATATATATCTTATAATGGGAAAGTACATAAATCAATAAGAAATTTAATCAATAATTTTCAAATTTTATCATAACCGGTTGAAATATTTGAAATTTATCATTCTTAAATATAGAACAAGACAATGTTTTTAGCTGGTTTGAAAGATCGTTTGTTTGTGTTTCCTAACAATGCTTCAGCAGGAAATGTGAACCTTAAAAACCCAACATTTAAACTTAACATATTTGCGATAACAGTATGTGTTTTTAAGTCATTTCTGGCATAAAATAAGTGTAGATATTCATGCTGGGATTGTCTTTTTCTTACATAAGCGGATTTGTGAAGCCCATGACATGCTTTATTTTTTATGAACATGAAGTCAAATCTAAGATCAAAACAAACAAGGTATTCGTGTCGGATAAAGTTTAATAAAAATAATTGAATACCGTATTGAGTACTATTTTTTCATAACAATCCTTCCTAAATCTTATTTTCATGAAATTTCAATCAGATGATGATTACATGATGACTATGTGACAAGTTAAAGTGGCAGTTTATGGGCTCATTGTCCATGTCACATTTAATCGCGGATCTTGGACATAGTAAAAAGCGACAAAAGCGACAAAAAAACTGGAGATAAGCACCGCGCTATTATTTAGCCCAATTAGTCTCACCGCACACGCCGCAATTTTGTCATATTTATCGTTGTAAAACGTATATTTATTCCATAGTTATCAGCGTTATTTAGAGACATTTGTGTCGCATGATGTGCGATTTTAAGAGTGCTTAAGTACAAAAGTAGTATTTTTGTAATTGTCTGAACACTTATCAATATTTACATTTACAATTATAACGGCATAGATGCAAAAAAAAATTATCGATTGATCGGTTGTAAATTGGACCTCATCATATGACCGCTTATTCTCCTTCCCGAAGATAGAGCATATAGTCGCCGCCTTGACCGTCCGTCCTTCCGTCTGTCTGTCTGTCAGTCACACTCTTGACAGGTGAATAACTTATAAGTATTGAAGGTTGTTTTAGAAAAAACTTCACAAAGTGATAGTGACCAAATACATTATGTTAGACTCATAACTCTATCTTGCTTATTTTTTTAATTTTCTCCTTTTAGTTAAAATTACGGAAGAGCATTAGTGCCAGGTGTATGTTTTTTATTAACTTAATTATCTCGAAATTTCGAGTTACTAACTCGAAATTTCGACTTACTTACTCGAAATTTCAAGTTACTTATCTCGAAATTTCGAGTTACTTATCTCGAAATTTCGACTTACTAACTCAAAATTTCGAGTTCTTATCTCGAAATTTCGAGTTACTTATCTCGAAATTTCGAGTTACTTATCTCGAAATTTCGACTTACTAACTCGAAATTTCGACTTACTAACTCGAAATTTCGAGTTACTTATCTCGAAATTTCGACTTATTAACTCGAAATTTCGACTTAGTAACTCGAAATTTCGACTTACTAACTCGAAATTTCGACTTATTAACTCGAAATTTCGACTTATATTGCACGATTTTCATTGGTTACCGGTGAAAGCAAGGATTGAATTCAAGATACTTTCTTTCGTGTGTAGCTGTTGCACATTGACAGAGCACCTATGTATTTAACAGAACAATTTAATAGGGTCAAATTGTCCACACACACTGAACATATCCTTCGCTTTTTTGTGGAGGGGGAGGGGAAGGGTGTGTAAAATCACACTTTCCACATTTCCGTGTTAACCGGATGTTTTTTTTTCTAAAGCACACATTATTATTAAATTTTATTATCCATATTGTGTTGATAAAAATTGATAAAAGTGGAACTTGTTATATACATGTTGGGAATAATATAAAAGCATCCGATTTTACAAGAAATATAGTCAGTCCAACAAATTTGACAAAGGCCCCAGCACCCCTATTTTGGCCACTCCGCGATACTTTCCTCAGATGTCCCATATGATTAGTGAAAAGATATGTTCGAACAGGTGGGATACAATACAACGTCTGAAGAACGCCTGAACGTACAGATTAAAGGAAGCCTTGTGTTTTTTAGGTCGGGCGTGTACATGCCATTACTTAGTTTAAGTTTAACTTTAATAGTTTGTTCAGGAACCCGTTTCTCCATCTCCATCGTTCAACCGCACTCCCTACTATATCTTATATTATCTAAACTCTTGGTAACTCATAAATTTGGCCATTCTAGTTACGTTAAAAAGTCGAAATTTCGAGATAGTAAGTCAAAATTTCGAGATAAGTAACTCGAAATTTCGAGTTAGTAACTCGAAATTTCGAGCTAGTAAGTCGAAATTTCGTGATAAGTAACTCGAAATTTCTAGTTAATAAGTCAAAATTTCGAGTTAATAAGTCGAAATTTCGAGTTAGTAACTCGAAATATCGAGATAAGTAAGTCGAAATTTCGCGTTAGTTACTCGAAATTTCGAGTTAATAAAAAACATACACCTGGCACTAATGCTCCTCCGTATAAAATTCTTCAAGTATAATTTTAAATTTATCAATGATTTCTCATTGAAACGACGACTAGAAAAAAGTGCAGTGTCAAATGACAATAATTCTATATCATTTAGTTTCTTAATTGTCCCCCTTTATAATATTGAATAATTTTTGTCCAAAAAATAACCTCTAACCGATAAATCATGTCTTATTGAAACCATACATATTTTTAAAATAATGGTTTTTGAATAGATTTCACACAATGACATATATTAGTGAAGGACTGCAGTGTCAAAAAATCCATTATTCTGCCTCGCTCGATGCTCCGTTTATGACGTTAAATATGTTAAACAATTTTTTTTCCTACGATGGCACAAAGATGACAATTGTGCGTTTTTTATTTATCTTGTGCCCACGAGATACTATGTCGTGGCTACGAGTTGCTAAGTGATGGCCACAAGATAGTTAGGTGGTGCGCACGAAATACTATGTCGTGGCCACGAGATATTTAAGTCGTAAGCACGAGATACTATGTCGTAGCCATGGGTTATTTAGTCATTAAAACAAGATAATTTATTCGTAAGCACGAGATAATTAACCACTCAGATTACACTTTATATATATGATTGATTTAAACTTATAAAATTCATGTTTAAAGTTTTACATGCAACTTTAATTTCTGAAATTACTGAAGATATTCATTTTAAACATGATACATGTCTTTAGAATCATATTAGAAAGTCACTTTCCAAGGCCCATAAATCAGATAATAATTTTGACTAAGTAATTGCCCTTTGTTGGGACAATTCTGTGATAGAATTAGTCAGTATGAACGTACAACGGCCTGTAACCTTGTTTATACGATAACTTGAGAAAGGGTTAGTTCTGGTTTATTTTATTTGATAGCGACATTGCTCATGGCCAGTGGATATCCTATAAGGATGTTTGAGGTCAATGTAACAATGACACATCATGTAAAATCCTTGTCTGATGAATAATTGAGAAGGAATAAGCCATGGGTTCTATAACCTAAAGAGATCATTGCACCTGATCAGTAGATGGCACCAAATTATTTTGAGGTCATCAGGTTAAAAATCAGGGTCACAATGACGCTAAAAGTAAAATCATTGTTCAGTCAATAACTTGTATAAATGGCACTTTGATAGACATGTGAGGTAGGGGAGTCCTTGTCCTAAAGCACATTTCTGGTTAACTAGGAAAATTAATATGAAAGTTGTAATCTGATTGGTTAACAATCTTGTGCGCTCGACTTAGTTATATCGTTTCTACGATTTAGTAACTCGTGGCCACGACAAAGTATCTCGTGCGCACGACTTGATTATCTCGTGTCCACGACTAAGTAACTCGTAGCCACAACATATTTTCCAGTGTGCACCACTTAATTATCTTGTGGCCAATACTTAGTAACTAGTGTCAAGGACATAGTATTTCGTGTGCACGACGTAATTATCTCGTGGCTACGACTTAGTAACTATTGGTCTCGACAAATTATCTCGTGCGCACGTTATAAAATACACACATGTCACCTCTTTGCCACCGTATTTTTTGCGTATAACTTTTAAACTATTATTTCTATCTGATTAAAATTTCATACAATTGTAGAAACTAGGTAGTAGGACGGTAAAGTGCAGTGTTAACGATTCATTACTCTAGTATATCACTTCATTTTTGAATAAAGTCTCTTTATAATATTTAATAATGTTTGTCCGCAGATCAACGTGAAAAGTTTTGAAGGAATTTGAATAAAATTTCACTCGGTGATAGTTACCAGGAAGGGCAGAGTCACTTTCTTTACATAGAGTTGTGTAGTAAACAAGTGTTAAAAATCTTCTTCTCTTAAAGTGCAATGCTCCGAGCTTAATCATTTTGCATGTAGTAAAAGCTGATTCTTGCCATTGGAGTTTAAATGGACTCATTTAGTAATATCTTATTGTGTGAAAGTACAATGTCAAGAACTTAGATTTTTGTCATACAGTATTTCGTAATAGACATATACAGACATTTTAAAAATTATACTGCCTTGATAAAATGACAAGCTCAAATAGACCTCATTACTGATTTTAGATTTTAATATTTCTAGCAATGAATCTCATGTGAGCGATCCATGGCATTCGTGACCTTCATACAGATATATTCTATGGTAAAATAAATGCAGCAAATACAAACATAATTAAAAATGATAATATATTTTTTGTTTAAATCGATCAGACTTACAACTCGGCCCTAGAGGTAAACACACTTTTACTTTCGAGAGATGTCATTAAATATTTGGCTGAAAAACACAGACTTGAAGGGGAAAACAAAGAAACACTAACTGAGATGGAAAGGGAGCTATTCAAAAATCTACAAAGTATGTTCATCGTTTTATTATTGAATATAATGAATGTTAGGTAGCTATCATTGTTGTTTCAAATTTATCACAGAGTATATTCAAATTTTACTTTCCGAATTGATGTTATAATCTATGATATACAATAATAGTTGAGAAATATAAATGTTTATCTTCAAAATCCTAAATAAAAGTGGCCGTTAACTTCACCCGTTTTAATGTTTAAATTGTCAGATTTGCAGAAAACAATAAACGTTAAAGGGAAAAACACAGATAATCCAAATATGCGGATTTTGAGCGACACCTTACGTAAGATGATGATAGAAAAAGGAGACGATTCAAGGGCCATGGTTTTTGTGAAGACAAGAGCTACTTGCAGATCTCTTGCGGAATTTTTGGACAGGGATCTCCAGAGTAGTGGAGTAAAAGCGAGTCCATTATATGGAAAGGAAAATCGTGGTGGAGATGACGGTATGACAATTTTAACTTTCTGTTATTAATGCGAAGCACAAGAGCGGTCGAAAATAATGATTCTTAATTCATTTTAATGAGTACATTAACAAGTGTCAATAAATTTGATATTTAACTTGACTTACCAAACCCCTTATTAGCTGATTTTTCATATTAACGGCAATGTGTTATTTGTTCCTGATTATATGATTTTAATTATTGTAAACAGGAATGACAGAAAGTCAACAAACAGAGATATTAGACAAGTTTCGCAGTGGATTCTTCAAAGTACTAGTATGCACATCTGTTGGGAATGAGGGTATAGATGTTCCCGATTGTAATATTGTTCTTAGTTACGAGTATTCCGGAGATGAAATAACAAAAATACAAATGAAAGGTATTCAATATTCTTCTAGAAAAAATATAACTTGACCATTTAAATTGAGATTTCATTTTTATATAAAAAACTATCACCACTTTATTGATAAATCAGCAATTTGTATTAAAAGTCTAAAATATGTGTATCGGTGGTATTAAAAGTTTTCAAAATAATTTATGCATCATTCAAATTTTCAATAGACCAATCTGAAAACAGTTTTAACCATACCTTTAAGTCGGCATCAATATTGTTTCATCAATAACATTATTATTCAGGTCGTTCTCGTAAGAAAAAAGCGACAACAATCACTATGGGAAGTGATATAGTAGTAGAGCAAGAAATGATCAATACATACAAAGCTGCAATGATGTATAGGGCCATGAATATTGTAAAACAGTTGGATCCAAAATATATCAATATGAAAGTCAATGCCTTCCAAAGTGAAGAAACACATAAATACAGATTTAAAGCGGCAGTTGAGAAATTGAAAAAGGGAAGGAAGTCTGATGAAGATTACGAGATTTTATGTGGAAGATGCAACACTTTTGCTTGTTATGTCTCTGATGTATGGCAGCTTGGACATGATCATATCGTAATTGATAAAGATTTCGCTGACAAGATTACAAGAAAGGAACACAAGAAACCGAATACCTATGACGGACTACACAATAAATACAAGATGTATTGCAGGAAATGCCGAATAGACTGGGGCAACATTGGACTAAGAGATGGTTTAGAATGCATAATCCTAAAAATCATCAATTTCAAGTTTAAGAATTTGCGTACACATGGTCTGAGTACCTACAACAAATGGATCGATGTACCATACGCCGTTCCTGAAATAAGTTTCTCTAAATTACAAGGTAGTGTAATTACTTTCAAATCTAAAAGACGAAAGATCAGTTTTGATTATCATTTAAAAAATAGACAAATATGGTATTAGTTTGTTGTATCTTTGTTACAGTTTTTGACAAGGCATGATGTTGTTGTACTGCTTTAAATAAGTAAAAAGGAGGGGGCTTAATAGACAAAACCGTCCGTTGCTTAAGCGCCGCCTGACGCTCAAAAGCAGTTTAAACTTTTCAGCATTAGTAATTGACATTTTAATACAGCAATTCCAAATGCTAACAAAACTATTGCTTTACTAAAAGCGGAAGTATCATTTTTTTAATCAAGTTTATCACATACTGTACAGTTGTTTTATAACACTGATAAAAACTTTTAAATATATCCCGTAGAATCCCTACCAGTGGAAGTTCTCAAGATGGATAATGAATCAATAAAACTTTATAAGGAAGCTTTGGAAACCGGAAAAACACGTGCTTATACCATTCGAGTTATGGTAGTAGGGCATATGGGTGTTGGTAAAACAACCCTTACTAAAAGACTTTTTGGTGAAAATGTAGATGTTTCATTGGACAATAAAAGTACGAATAGCATTGATGTTCATGTGAGAAAATGCAAAGTCATATTAAAAGATGGCAATTGGTTATCTCTGACTGATGGTAGGTCGTAAATAATTCACGTTTAATCTTATTGTTAATATGTAGTAAGTAAGGAAGAAAGGAAAAAAGTTACATGCACTATGTAACAACGTACGTAGGGAAGTATGAAAGTACATAATTGAGTAAAGTAGGTCTTTACACCGAGGATGATCACTAGACCAAAGTCGTACAATGGGCTCATAAAATGGTGGCCTGAACGCTCGGTAAAAGCAGTGAGATTGAGGTAAGCATACAGTTAACGTTAAATTTATATGTTAAACTAGGCCGAACGGAACCCCTATATAAAAACCACGTACTGTCCTGTTATTGGTTACTTTGTAGCCCTCTCTGTTTAGGCCTGAAAGTCGAAAAAGTTGTTTTGGGTGATGAGTACAATGGCTGAACAGGTACTAAAATGCGTTGTTTTCAGTAAAAGAAGCGCATTCCGAACAAAATTAGCAATGACATCTTGTGCACAATTGTAAATTTGCACGTCAAGAACAACTTCAATTCTTTATAAAGTCGCATAACGAAGTTCTGCATCTTTTTAAAAAACGAGTTCAATGGTCGAACCAAATTTAATGAGTACAATGGCCGAACGATTTTATTGCCTGTCATATTTTGTCAATTTTTTCATTGAATTATGATTGTTTCTCGCTTCATGTCTTTGAAATCATACAAATATAAAATTTGAAAGTGAAAAGTAGGAAGTATAAAATTAAATGAATTCAGTTTGCTTGCTATACATTCTCATCTTAATAGTATTCTGCTTTGATAACACACGTGTACATCAGCTTAAAAGTATTTACAAGACAAAATAAAATACAAAGATGTACATTATATAGAATTTTATTTCACCAGCAAAATATATGTTTCAATAACATACATAAAATTGTCAATTATTTTGGAAATAAAGTCAAGTTTTTTTGTATTTTTTTTTGTATTTCAGACGCAGAAAAAGGTGTTCCTTTAAATGAAAAGCACGTTAACGTATATCTATGGAATATATACATGTAATGTATATTTTATATTTTAATAGTGTGCTTATATTATCGTTAAATACTTCATCACACCATATTAAGTAATTCAATATCTTTACAGGAATTGGAAATTTCTTATGTGTTTATTTGCCGGCATTATAGCAAATCTTATAGAAGACGATGTTCATGTTGTAACGAGCAGGTAGACTAGGGAAAGGCACCCCATAAAATGCTGTGGGACATTGTTTCTAAGTTTCGTCAAATTGTAAAAACATGGGTCTGTAAATTATATATCATACATGAAGTACATAGCTGTCTGATATTTCTACAAACGGCTTGTGTGGCAAAGATGGAAAGAACACAAAGAAATGGTTACATAAAGAAAAAGTATTAGAAAACGAAAAAAAGATATTCCTAGAGTAATATATTGCCCTATTATTTGCAGCGGCATACAATGATCCATGTGTGGTGAGAAATGAACGCATTACATATGTTCCTAAAAGGATTCAGTTAAAGTACAAACTTTATTATCCCTCATGTACAGACTCAATCAAACCGAGTCTGCAATTCTCTTGTAATTTTGTTGTGACTAATGCTTCCGAGGGATCACTTTGTTTCAAGAATTTTGTACTTCCCAACAGCAGGTGTCAAGTGCCGTGTGGCAGCTGTAAAAAGTTGCCACGTACTTCACTTCAGTGTTGTTATAGCTTCTGGTCCTTCGGGATCATTGATGCCAACACTATTAAGTGTTGAGAATTGAGTACCGCTCAAGCCGGTGCTAGTGGGCGTGAGGGATGTTGCACTTATTCATTATCCCTCATGTACAGACTCAATCAAACCGAGTCTGCAATTCTCTTGTAATTTTGTTGTGATTAATGCGTCCGAGGGATCACTTTGTTTCCAGAATTTTATATGTGATCAAATATTATGAAACCCGGCTATAATAGCTCCCTAGTTCAGAAAGCTTTGGACAGATTCTGCAAGTTAGAGTGGGTTAGCATGAAATAACTTGTGTTACTCAAGTTCAGATTTTTTCGAAAACGAACTGCCATATTTTTCGCACTGATGCAGTTTTGCTCCGCCATGGTTGTTTGCTCAGAAACAACTGAAACAAATTAGAATTTAGAAATACTATCAGTTTATTGATGTTAATATAGCTTCCATGTTGAGCTTAACGGTGTTGAAGCTATTTTTTAATTGTACCTATTTAGGAACATATATAATGCGTTCATTTCAACACAAAAGGTACATTGTATGTTACTGCTTATAGAAGATTATGGGGTAATATATTGCTCCAGGGTTATCTAATTTCTTATTTTAAATAGCTTTTCTTTATTAACATGTAACCATTTCTAAGTGTTCTTTTTATCTTAGACATTCAAGCCGTATGTAGAAATATCAGACAGCTATGTACTTCATGTATGAAATGCAATTTACAAACCTTTGTCTTTGCAACTTGCCGAAACTTAGGAACCATGTCAAATAGCATGTATGGGGTACCTTCCCCTTGTGTACCTGCTCGTGACGACATGAAGCTGGTCGTCTTCTATATGATTTGCCATAATGCCAGCTTATAAACACATCAGAATTTCCGATTCCTGTTAAGATATTGAATTACTTAATATGGTGTGATGAAGTATTGAACGATAATATAAGCACAATATTAAAATTTAAAATATACAATCATTTAAATGAGCACCTTTTTCTGCGTCTGAAATACAAAAAAAAACAACAACTGACTTTATTTCCAAAATAATTGTCAAAATGGTATGACATTTTATGTACGTAATTTAAACATATATTTTGCTGGTGAATTAAATTCTATATAATGTACATGTGTGTTTTATTTTTGTATTGTTAATACTTTTAAGCTGATGTACACGTGTGTTATCAAAGCAGAATACTATTAAGATGAGAATGTATAGCAAGCAAACTGAATTCATTTAATTTAATACTTCCTACTTTTAACTTTCAAATATTATATTTGTATGATTCAAAGACACGAAGCGAGAAACAATCATAATTCAATGAAAAAATTGAAAAAAATATGACAGGCAATAAAATCGTTCGGCCGTTGTACTCATTAAATTTGGTTCGACAACTGTACTCGTTTTTTAAAAAGATGCACAACTTCGTTATGCAACTTTACAAAGGATGGAAATTGTTTGTGACAGGCAAACTTGCAATTGTGTACAAGATGTCAATGCAAAGTCATTGCTAATTTTGCTCAAAATGCGTTTCTTTTACCGAAAACAACGCATTTTAGTACCTGTATGGCCATTGTACTCATTACCCAAAACAACTTTTTCGACTTTCAGGCCTAAACAGAGAGGGCCTCAAAGTAACCAATAACAAAACATTACGTGGTTTTTATACAGGGGCCTTGTTTAACATATAAAGTTAACGTTAACTGTATGCTTACCTCAATTTCACTGCTTTTGCCGAGCGTTCAGGCCGCCATTTTATGAGCCCATTGTACGATTTTGGTCACGTGATCATCCACAGTGAGTAAAGAACTAATGAGTTAGGTGCGTATGTATGTAGGTATGTAACAACTTTATTTAACAAGGGTTACACATTCCTATTCAAGGTCGATCTTTTGTGTGGGCCTTACAGCCGCATTTGAACAATTTGTTATAAAATTATAATTATGTTATAAAACTATTAATGACTTCAAAACAAACAATATTTTGTACGATCTTTATTATTATTTCTTTCAACTCGACATTTCTCCACATAATAAGTGAGAAGTTATTTTACCAATTTATGAGCTCTCTCAGTATTGTTATCCTTAAAAAAAACCTGATTTTAGAATTTGGTAAAAGTTTTATTAGTCCCCTACCTGTTTAACCGTAGGGGACTTTAGGTTTACCTTCTGTTTGTTTGTTTGTCTGTCCGTATGTCCGTCCGCTCTCACGGGACAGTAATAATATGGCTAGAGGGACAATAGGTAACTGTTCTTTCTCTTTGATGTAATTCATTCCGTAATGCTTTTATGTGGCTATTTTCTTTTGTGGTAGCCACATTATTACTGTCCCGTAAGAACGTCCGTCTGTCATTCCGTCAGTCCGTCCACAAAACTTGATCCAGCGATTACGCAAAAAGTACTGAAAATATTTTTATGAAACTTGATATATGGATAAATGGCACTATGGATCTTGTGCATGTTTTTTTTTTCTTTTCTTTCTAATTTGAAAATTCTGGTTGCTTTGGCAATAAATAGACAGAAAATATGGCTAATTTAACACATAAACTGGATCCAGAGATAACTGGAAATACAAAAAATATATTTTTATGAAACTTGACATATGGGTAGATTGCAGTCTGGAGATTATGAATATCTTTCTTTTGTTTCTTTGTTGAAACTTTTGGTTGATATGGCAACAAAAAGGCCGAATTTCAAGATTTCTGACTCAAGTTGTTACGCTTTTTCACTATAAGTTATTTATTTCTTAATGTATTTAGTTTAAACTTTAAATATAACTCTGGTCATCAACAACATCATATGTGACATGATTTTCAACTCTAGCACACACATTATCAGAATTACCTCCCATGAACTTAGAATTTGCATGAAAAAAATGTTGTTTTTTTTTAAATTAACTTCTTTATTTCTAAATGTATCTTCTTCAAACTTCATATATTTGTTTCTTATTATTACTCAACATTTGTGAGAAGGTTTAATGCTCTGGCAAGGCTTTTTCCAGAATTATGTCCCCCTTGAACTGTTTATGAGAAATTGGTATTTTCACTCTTAGACTAACGTTTTCATTACTTATAGAATTTACTTCAAACTGCCACATCATAATAATAATATAAGGTTTTTTTAAAATCGAGAATCAATATTTCCGGAATTATCTCTTCCTTAAACTTTGAATTTTTTCTTATTCTTTCTTTCACTTTCTTTTTCCTTCATGGATTTACTTCAAATTCATAAAAAACATTCATTAAAATAAACATAAAGGTAAATCTAGCATCTTTATTTCAAGAGTTCTCTCCTTTTTAAGAATTTTGCTTTAAAAAAATGTTATATTTTAGTATCAGGGATGTTTAAAATTTAAGGTTGGAGTCTCCTACAGTATGTCTGTCTGTCTCTTCATTAAACTGTTTCCTGAGATCACTTTTTCACAAAGATTTTTCCAACAAATTAAAATAGAGAAAAGTTGAAATATTAGTTATACTTATTCATCCTGAGAAAATTGGACCTTTTGATTATCTTTTGTATAAACATAATTTCCTTACTGGGCAGGGAAACTTTTACATTATGACATTACTATGATAAGCACAAACGTACAACTCAAAAGATTTAAGTTCATTCATGTAATTAATTCATTCAATGGTATAATTGAATGGAATGGCCAATGGCCCATCAGAATATAACTGGGTTTCTAACCGGTAGGGGACTTACAGATTGCATAATTGCTTTTTTAATGTAGATCTTGTGACTAAAATTCAAAGTTTTCAATTATCAACAAGGTGATTCTGAAAGAAATCATAACAGCCATATTGTGTCGGAATTGTTGAAATGGTCCAGGGAAAAACACATGAAAAGCAATGAAGATACATTGCAGTCGCATCAAAATGAAGCAGAAACGACACAAAACCGGCAAGAAGAACTATTGTATACTAGAACTCGCGTCGATGGTATGTTTATCGTTTTACACGTATCATCATCATTGACATAAACTTCACTCTTTTTCAACAAATTTTGTTAAAAGCAATACATGAACTAAAATGTCATTTTGATAAAATCAACTCTCAATTAATAATTGTTTAAAAACTGTGGACATTTCGTAAACTAAAAAACAGAAAACTTTAAACTAATATCTGTTTTAAAACTATTTTTCTCTGCGATGTATTTTCGTGTTTTAAATGTGAAATTTATGCTACATGATGATTTTCAACGCAAGACGGGAAAAGAGAGGTGAATGAAACCGTCACAAATTATGAGAATAACGGCACGAGATCTGAAGAAAAAAGCTTCAGTCCTGAGTGTGACCGGGAAGAGGCCAGGAATCTTGAGTTCATGGTACTATTAAATAATTAAGAATGTTTGTATTGTTTTAATATATCAGAAAAAAATTATTGTTAAACGGTCTTCAATTTTAGAAGGCGCTAAACAAAATTACCTTGAGTCATATGTAGTCATCAATTAGCAATCATTTAAACACAGAATAGCCTGCACAAAAGTTGTTTCAATGTATTAAAATAAAGATAAAATCAATTATTGCCTTAGTTACTGCACTATTTTGGGACACAATTTAGCATGCGCGGTCGTCAATTTGACAGCTTCTTTAAAATGTGTCTGCCTTTTATGCCCACCCTCTCCCCGAGCATATACGAGTTAAAAGTACCTGAACCGTCCGTCTATATGTCTTTCTTTCCAAACAACTGTCCGTCACGAGGTTAAACCAGAACGGAAAGTAGGATTTATCTTAAGTACTACCTGTACCAATGCCTACATAATTAACACACTTAATATTTCATAGAAATATCCAAATTATTGTTTTTTATCATTATATGAAAAACTTATGAAAAATATGCCCATTGAAGAACAATACACTTTAACCTTAGAAAATGATGAGTTTTGTGATACATAAATCACTTCTCTATTGCTTGTCCGTCTGTCTGTATGTCTGTCTGTCCGTTCGTCTGTTGCAAAACTTGTCTGAACGTCTTGTCAAAAACTAGAGGTGCAATTTCATTTAAACTTAATAAGAATTATCAATACTAAGTCTAATTGTAATATCATCGGCATTTTCCGGTTCAATGAGTTATTTCAGAGTTATGGTCCTTTAAACATACATGCCCCCGGTCATATAGTAATCAAACCGTCCGTCAGTCTGCCCATCTGCCCGTATGATATTCACCTAAACAGGCAAGTTGATTTTATCTTAAGTTCTACCTGTACGGCTTCTATTTTTTCCAAGTTACTGCATGCACTTTTCAGCATTTTGAAAATGGATATGGTTAACTTAAACTGGCATTTTGGATATATCTTAAGTTCTATCTTTACCAATCGCTTTATAATTTACACACTTAATTATCAATAAAAAGTACATGATGTTATCAAGTTATATAACTTTGCTGTCCATTATTCCCTTTTATTTTCATTTTTATCACTTTAAAATACGACCTTGTAAGGTTTAAATTATTCCTAAATTAAAATATGACATTGTAAGGTTTAAATTAGTTCTAATAACTTTATTGTCCCCCGCCTTTTCGAAGAAAAAAGGGGGATATAGAAATAGGCTGCGTCCGTCTGTCCGTCACACTTTCGTGTCCGGTCCATAACTTTGTCATTTTTTTTTAAAGAATCTGAAATAACTTAGCACAAATATTTATTATAATAAGACAATGTGTCATGAGCAAAACCAGATCTTTACCTCCAGGGTCAAGGTCGCACTTGCTCATTCAAGGTCAACATTGTCTATTTAAGGATATATATCGTGTCCGGTCCATAACTTTTTTATCTTAGAAGGGATTTTGTAAATACTTGCCACAATTGCTCACAATAAATAGAAGATGTGTCATGCGCAACAATCAGTCACCTTCCCCAAGGTCAAGGTTACACTTGGAGGTCAAAGATTAACATAGTCTGTTATAGGGCATATTTTGTGTCCGGTCCATAACTTTTTCATATATCAAAGGATTTGAAAATACTTGGCACAAATAGTCACTATAATAAGACGATGTGTCATGCGCAACACCTGCATCCATACCTCCAAGGTCAAGGTCACATTTTGAGGTCAAAAATTAACATAGTCTGTTAAAAGGTATGTATTGTGTCCGATCTAGAGCTTCTTCATAGTTCAAGGGATTTTGAAATAACTTGGCAGAAATAGTCACAACAAGAAGACGATATGTCAAATACAACACCTGCACCCCTACCTTCAAAGTCAAGGTCAAAAGTTAACAAAGCCTGTTATATGGTATATTTTGTGTCCCGTCCATAACTTCTCCATAGGATTTTGAAAATACTTGGCGCAAATAGTCACAATGATAAGATGATATGTTATGCGTAACACCAGTGTCCCTACCTCCAAGGTTAAGGTCACATGTAGAGGTAAAAGGTTTAAATAGTCTGTCATAGGGTATATTTTGTGTCCAGTCCATAACTTTTAATAGATTTTAGGGATTTTGTAAATACTTGCCACAATTGCTCACAATAAATAGAAAATGTGTCATGCGCAACAATCAGTCACCTTCCCCAAGGTCAAGGTTACACTTGGAGGTCAAAGATTAACATAGTCTGTTATAGGGCATATTTTGTGTCCGGTCCATAACTTTTTCATATATCAAAGGATTTGAAAATACTTGGCACAAATAGTCACTATAATAAGACGATGTGTCATGCGCAACACCTGCATCCATACCTCCAAGGTCAAGGTCACATTTTGAGGTCAAAAATTAACATAGTCTGTTAAAAGGTATGTATTGTGTCCGATCTAGAGCTTCTTCATAGTTCAAGGGATTTTGAAATAACTTGGCAGAAATAGTCACAACAAGAAGACGATATGTCAAATACAACACCTGCACCCCTACCTTCAAAGTCAGTGGTCAAAAGTTAACAAAGCCTGTTATATGGTATATTTTGTGTCCCGTCCATAACTTCTCCATAGGATTTTGAAAATACTTGGCGCAAATAGTCACAATGATAAGATGATATGTTATGCGTAACACCAGTGTCCCTACCTCCAAGGTTAAGGTCACATGTAGAGGTAAAAGGTTTAAATAGTCTGTCATAGGGTATATTTTGTGTCCAGTCCATAACTTTTAATAGATCAAGGGATTTCAAAAACACTTTGCACAAATAATCACTATAATAAGACGATATATCAGGCACAAAACATGGGTCCCTATCTCCAAGGTGGCACTAAGAGGTCAAAGATTAACATAGTATGTTAGAGGGTATATTTTGTGTCCCATCTATAACTTCCTTATAGTTCAAGGGATTTTGAAAATACTTGGTACAAATAGTAAAAATAATAAGACGATATGTCATGCACAACACCTGCACCCCTACCTCCAAGGTCAAGGTCACACTTAGAGGTCAAAGCTTAACATGATAGATTTTTAAATTCAGTGTTTCATTTTATTTCTTTAATAAATTTATTGTTGCATTTGCAGATCAAGCATTGATCATAATTTTGGACTGAAAGTACTTAGATCCATACCTCAATCTTTTGAAATAGCACAATTTTATGCTTCATATAAAATTTTCCCGAGGCGGAGGACGTTGGTAACTCTGTTACAAATTCTTGTTTATTTAATGATGCTTTTCATATTTGGTATATATCCTTCAATGGTCCTCTAACTTTTTGTGGAGATAGTTGTCACTTGGGTCAAGGTCATTTGTGTAATAAAAATATAAATTTAAACTTTCTTGCTTATACAGCCTTATATTTGAATTGATGTCTTTCATGTTTAATACAGAAATGTTTAGAGAGTTCCTCTTCATTTGCCTTCACTTAGGGGTCATTTGGATCAAGGTTAAGGTCACCAATATAAAAAAAATAGTTTTTACACTTTTACATTTGTCACTTTGTTATATCGGCTGATGTCTTTCATATTTTGTAAGAACATAAAATGGAGGAATCTTCTTCCTTTTCATGGAGTTAGGGTCAGTTTGTTCGAGGTCACTAGTGCTAAAAATAGATTTATAAATTTTTACACTTTTGCCCATACAGCCCTTATTTTTTGACAGATATATTTCATGTTTGGCGGGACAAAAACTTGTATTGTATTTTTCCTTTAGATTATGTAAGGGTCATTTGGTCAAGATCAAAACAGCCAATAATCGTTATCTACACATTTGATTATACAGCCTTTAATGATTTGCCTGATACTTTTCAAATTTTAAAGGATAAAACTTTCAAGATCTTCTTCCTTTGGATTGAGTTAGGGGCAGTTAGATGAAGGTCATATGTCCTAAAGATAGATTTAAAACTTTTGTCTATACAGCCTTTATTTATGGACAGGTGTTTTCAAATTTCTAAGGAAATAACTTGCGCGGCTTTTGATTGAATAAAATGTCAATGCGCCAATTATAGATTTTGACATATTTGCTTTTACAGTCTTTATATATATTTTTCAAATTTGGAAGAAGCATACCTAGGATGGTTTAGTGTTTAGAATCTGAAGGTCAATGTCAAATTTACAAGCACTAGACTTTTTACACTTTTTCTAATACAGCCTTTGCATAGTTTTTTTACCTATGTTTCATATTTACAAGGAACATACCTTAGGTGGTCCTTTAAGTTTGGATTTCGTTTGGGGTTACTGGGTTCCAAGTCAAGATCTTTTATTTATTGTATTTGATACAGTTTTATTGGTAAGTTGAATATTTTTCAACTTCATCACAAGCAATGATTTGCCAAGCTATGTTTTTCACATTTTCACAGTTGAAAAATCAGTAATTCTGTCAAGATTATATACCTGTTTCTACATTTTTTAACTCTACTGCAATTTCATTGAAACTTTACATGATTGATCGGTACCTAAAGTACTTGTGTGTGCATATAACACGAGTTTTCCGATTGATTGGTTTGGGTCGAGTTATCGCCCCTTAATAAACTATTATTGCAGCATTTTTTGGCTCAATAATTTAGTCATAGCTCTGGACCTCTTATAATAGTTTATTCTTATAGTTTTGTCCAATATAAGTGAAACTTTACAAGATTGATTGTTAGCTCAAATTGCAAGTACTTTAGCTCATTACACGGGTTTTCCGGTTGCAGGATTTTAGACCGACTTATGGCACTTGAATTAAAGGTGTTAGTAAAGTTTGTACGGATAACTCCACTTACACCACTAATGCAATTTAAATCAAACTTTAAAGGAATAATTGGTAGCTCAAAATCTTGCGGATACTTGAATGGTTTTTGGTCGAGTTGTAGCACTCGAACAAAGATGTGTTTTCTTTTGTGTTGCCAGCTACGCAGAAGTTTGATTGGACTACTCCTCAGTCGGAAACCAAAGGTGCAATTCCATTCAAACTTCACTGGTACTATCGGTACCAATTCTTGAGGGATGTTGCACTTATTCATTATCCCTCATGTACAGACTCAATCAAACCGAGTCTGCAATTTTCAAATAATTAATGGTTCCGAGGGATCACTTTCCAGATTTTAATGTGCATATTATCGGATTTATTCTGTTCAATGACTTTATCATGGTAAAAGCCCTTTAACTTAATTCTTAATCTTCTTATACCACTGGTGCATAGTACACGAGTTTTTAAGTTGAATAAAAGAAATTACACCCTGTAATGGTGTGTGTTTCTCCGGCTACACAGTAGCTGCAACAGAAAATTGGCTATTATGAGTCTACACATGTGATCACTGATCGCTCTTATTATATGTGACCTCTTTTCAGTTTTGATCAATATCAAGATTATAAATATATAATACAGGGTTACATAATTAACATATGTTCTAATTATATATACTATTTCAAAATGCTCTGTAAAGTCACCAAACTTAAGGTGTCCGTAAACCTTTACACTTTTACCGTACTGCTGTTAAACAGGAACAAATTAGGCATTAAGTATCATGCATTTAAAGAATTAAGATTCAAGACTAGTTATCTTAGTTTAATTAGGGGAAGAATAAGAAGTTTGGTGACCTTAGAGGCCATCTTAAAATGTCAAACATTTACAAGGTCAAAACTGATATTGAATAAAAAAAAAAGTGAACAGTTAAAAATAAAAAAATAAAGAAATAATTTATCAATACAGCACACAAAATGAAATATAAGAAATTTAAACATTTACCTACATTTAACAGTAACTTATTAAACCCATACAAAAGTTTTCGTCTTACACTATCGCGAACCAAATTCTCGCATAACCTCCAAGATTATTCAATATCTATAAAATAAACGCAAGGAAACGAAAACACTAGACTGTAGTGAAAAGCAAATATAATTATGTATAATTGACTTTTATCGTCCTGAATATTTCATGACATAATATATGCAGATTTTTTAATGGAACCTTGTTATTCTCTTACCATAATGCCTCTACAAACAAATTTTACATGATACGTGTTATGCTAGGACTAGAGAACGGTACTTTCAGTGACCACTACCGTTTATGAACAGGCTCAATCAAACCGAGTCTACAACATTTTGAGTTTTGCTGTTCAAGGGAAAATATAGACATTAATAATGTCGTGCTAAACGATCTTAAGAGATTGAAAATATAACATGTCGATACACGCCGACACTTAACGGCCTCCACACGTCACAAGTCACCGTATTGTGACACTATAACAGAGAAAAAATATAAATTAATTATATTATTATTATTTAATATAATTAAATTGATACATTTATTTTCCATGGACATACATGTTATTTCATCCGTCAGCTTTTTCTATTTGTAAAATGAGGTATGTTTCTTCACAGACACTGATTCAAGATACAGTAATAGGAAGTATGAATGAGTCAAATGTGACCGAAGATACCGCAGACCTGTCTGTCTGGGACTTTGCTGGTCAGCATATTTTTTATGGAACTCATCAAATATTTCTATCAAGAAGAGCAGTATATCTCCTGGTCATTGACCTGTCTAAGCATGTTGACAGTGTCGTTGAAGATGACTGTTTTATTGGCACGGACGGAAAAAAACAATATAAAATTTCAGGTTAGAATTGTCAATTGCTGAAATAATTTTGTCAGTTGTGTTATTGCTACAGTATAAAGTTAACTACGTTTTACAATCATTCATGTGGTAAATGTTTGTAAATGTTTATGTTTTAGAATTTGTAAAGTTTTGGCTGAACTCAATACATACATACTGTCCATCGAGTACTTCTAAAGAACCACCTGTCATTTTGGTTGGTACATTTGCCGATAAACTGGGCAAGGTATATATATATGGATATTTTTACATATCATATTAACAGCATTTACCTTGATAGTTCACTAATAGCATGCATTTGTTAAATAAGTGCAAACAGTTTACAGTTTGTCTTGTACATGATAACATATTTAAAAGTTTATCTCGGATCATGAGACTCATGTTTATATCGATATTTTACTCCTTTCACGTCCGAAATATATAAATTTTATGCATTATAATGTGTTTAGAATGTGGCAAAATTATTTTTTACAGAATTGAGATAGTTTTAATCGTTCCTATTGAAAAGGAATTTTGAATATGTTTTATTTTTATAAAGTCAGTGTTAAATATCCCTTCTTGTCTATTTAACATTTATACATGCATGAACGATATATTTTTTTTTGAAATATTTTTATCATGCGTTCCATTTGTTACTATGTTTTGTTGATTTTTAATAAATGTTTTACGAAAGGAAAGGGAAAAGCATGCAGACAAAATTTTTTCTGACTTGAGAGAAATGCTTACGGATTTTGAAGAATTATATGAGCACTTGACGCCAGGGGACATTCCAATAGATAACTCAATTAAAGACCGAAAATGTTGAAGTGCTTAAAAAGAGGATTGTGGAACTTTCGGCAAAAGAAGGCAAAGTTATTGGGTGACCCATATCCTGTGAGATGGATTTACTAGAAAAATCAATAATAAGCTTTAAGAGTAACTAAGGATTCCGGTAAGTTCGCTTTGTTTATAAGTTTCATTCAATTTGAAATTATCTAAGCAAATATAATAAGATATAATTCGTTGTCTGTTTGTCTTTTTTTGCGCATTTAATTACAACGGATGTACCAATTAAAATGCAACATTTTATTTTAACCTTATATTGTACCATTTAATTTGACATAAACTACCAATTTTCCGTTATACTTGATACTATTTCCACGTTGTATTGTTGATGTTTAGCGTTAAATTATGTTATCTTTTTTTCTGAATTGCACCTTCTGCAGTTTATAATCAGTTTCTTCTTGTAATGAAGATTTCAGAATAACATGCAACAATTCAGTTATTTGTTGGTATGTGGTTATTAATAAAGCGATTCATTTGTCATTGGTAAACTTGTGATGTATGCATTTTAACTATAAGTTATCTTGCATCTCGCAAATTTATCGTTCAAACTTATATTGAAGCATTAAAGCAAGCACTGTATTAATTATTCTAACATAAAACTGTAAATTCAGCATTTCATCAAAGATTGTATAATTTCATATCATCATATTTTATTATGCCTCCAACATAAATTGGCTACTGCATATAGTGTTACCCCGTTCTGTCATCCCGTCATCATCGGTTTTGGTATATTATCTTGGTAACAGTTGCACACATTCATCTCTTTTTTGACATATGGATATAACATAGAAAAGGGCAGGTAACGTTCGAATTTGGTCTGATGACTTTTGGCAGAGTTATGCCCCTTAACTTGAGAATTTTTCCGTCTCCGTTCATTATGTCATTAACAGTTGTACACATTCGAGTAAAATTTGTCATATGGATACGTCAAAGAAATGCGCGATCAAGTATTCAAATATTGGTCATTCGTGTTGATATTCAAAACGAGAGTCTATGACACTATAACTTTAAATATAATGTAAGTTTTTTTTAGCTTTTGTTCATAAACCTCACCCAACCAGTTGCTACAATTACAAATCAAACTTGAACATATCGATATGCCATAGAAACGGCAGGTCAAGTTTGAAATTTGCTCATAGTTCAATGATTTTTGACAGAGGTATGCCCCTTAACTTTGAAAAACTAAGAAATTTAAGTTTATTTTCTCCCAAACAATTTGACACATTCAACTCAAATTAACTGTATGGATATGTCATAGAAAAATGTGTTGGTCAAATTCGAATTTGGTCATGTTTCAATGAATTTTTTGAAAGAATAATACTTCTTGAACTTTTAGTTTCCTTTCATTATCTCCCTTACAGCTGTGCACATTTAACTCAACTTTTACGTTTGGATACATTAAAGGAATGCGCATGTCAAGTTTGAATTAGTTATGGTTCAATGAATTTTGGCAGAGCTATGCCCCTTTCACTTAAGAATAATGGGAATTTTTAAGTTTTGCGTTCATTATCTCCGAAACAGTTAACGTTGTACATACTCAACTCAAATTTATTACATGGACATTTCATAGAAATAAGCTGGTGCGGTTAGAATTTGTTCATGGCTTGAGTAATCCCTCTTGAACTTCGAATAAAATAAGACATTGTTATTTTCCGTTAACTTTACTCCCCAACAGTTGACACTGTCAACTCAAAAATTTGACATAAAAAAATTTAGGAATAAGCGGCCCCAATTTAAATTTTGGCATTTGG